CAGCAAACCCCACCGAAATCGAAATCTCCACCGTGATGGACAGGGGTGTCCGGGAGCACAGCTCAAAAAAAAAACAACCCTGTTGAAACACTTGCGTTTTGCCCAGTATCCAACGATTTCGTCCCGATTCAAGATCCCCCGCGCTTGGCCCTGCAGAGGTGCACGGGTCACACCTTTGCGCAAGCGCGGCTCAGGCACCGGCTTCAGCTGCGAGGAAAGGGGCTTCGAGCCGCCTCTCTCCTCTTCCACGTGGCGTGCAGCAGCACATTTTGGGGTTTGCAGCCACCAGCCCTCTCCAGAGGAGATTCTTCCCTGCTTTGACAGCGTATTTTTTTTTTATAAGCAAATAAGAGCAATGTTTAAAGCCCACAGCTCCTACGAGAGAGTGTGCAATCTTCCCCCCCATCCCTGCCACACGGGCAGGCGATGAGAAGTGGCTTGTTCTTCCAGGCGCAGCCAACATGGGTACGAAATGCTGCAGGACACTGGGGACGCCAGTCATCCCTCCCTGCCACCGGGCAGGAGCGCGCCGGAGCCCTGCGGCACGGCTACGGCCATCCCAAACCATCGCCTGGCAAAATCCCAAGACCAAGCGCTGCAAAACAAGAGGCAGCAACGCCGAGGGATCGCCGGGTCTGTCTGATAGAAACCGCCTGCGCGTTCATCCAGCTGCCGGTCGGATTGTCACGAGCCAGATGAATTTCCCAGCTCCGGGTCTTGGCAATTAAGAGAGCGTGGGGGAGAAGCGACATTTCCCTGCACCACGTTGGAGCTACCGCCTGCTCCAGCCCTGCTCTGTCAGAATTACTATTAATACCCCCCAAAAATATTTGTGTTAGAAACCAAAAGGTTTATATAAACAGACACTTTGGAAACAGTTTCTAAGTGATGAGAACAACAGTTTTAGATGATCCGTCACGACTCACCTCGTGGATTAGACATTTGTCTATGAGCTGTAAATAGGAACTTATATTCTCTTCGTCGGGTCGGGAAACTAAAAGTTGCGTGCAAACTGGAAAAAAAAAGAGAAGAGAAGAGAAATGGGCATGTGGACATGGAGCTGGGGTCCAGGGGGGTCAGCGAACGCCTTGGAAGTCCTGTTTCCCTTGTCCCACAGGGGAGTCTTGTCATCAGTGAGAAAAAAGGCCCTTCCCCAATTCCTGCCGTGCCGTCCTATATTTAGGGCCAGATTTTGTTCTCCATTATGATGGTGTAAATCCAGAGTAACACCACTGGAGTCACCAAAATTAGACCTGAGCATATCAGGGGCACAGGATTATTCCCTTTTCCTAGGCAAGAGCCGGCGCTGGGAGAGCTCCTGCTCCTATGGCCAAAATTTGCCCCTGCTGCAAACGGATTCCCACGGATCCCAATGGATTTTTAACCTCTTTTGGAATGAATGCCATAAAAGCAAGTGGAAATGAGTTCGCAGAGAAATGAGTCTCTGCTGTCATAGCCCCAGGCAGGGAGGAGGACACCTCGTCCTGGTAAGGCTTGTGTCATACGTACAGCTTCGGGTGTGACGGAGGCATTAGCCACGGGCTGAATTCATCAGCAGGCTGGAAATGGGGCCACCAACCCGGGTGTCTGTGCATGCAGTCAATTAGCCGGTCAGAAATTTTGCACCAAATTTTTATATAGAAAACATCTCGTCTATTTTTTGCAAAAAAAGTCTGAAATTGGGACAGGGCTGAGATTTCTTCGTGGCACCCCAACGAGTTTCTGCTCCCGGTCTCCTGCATGAGCCTGCAGATGAGACTCCCCTCCCCTCCACGCAGCCAGCACCGACACCTCAGGTGCCACCGACGGGCGTTAGGACACATCCAAGCTGATAGAAATTTGCCTGAAGAGCCCTGTATATGGCACAGGAGGTCGGTCCCCACCTCACATCGCTCCTCCCTGTGTGCTAACTCTGATACAAAGCTGTGCACCCCGCATCAGGCATGAAACCATGGACCGGCACCCGAGCGTTTTGGATGTCCTCACCTAAACTGGGGGCTTGGACACTGCTGATTTTTTACTCAGGATGGCCCACGTCCAGCCCATGCACCACTGCTACATCCCCCCAAAGAGAGCAAGTCCAAGGGATGCTGCCGAAAACAGCTCTGGACCCGCAGGATGCCCCCAGGGCTCTGAGCTGGGGCAGGCAGAAGATGCTATCCACCTCTGAGCTGGGGCAGGCAGCCTGTCCCACCACTGCCCCTCCCAAAAATCACTGCCCACCTCCCTCCCCGAGCTCTTACCTCTTGCCACAGCACAGTGGGGGGGACCTCAAAAAAATCATCACCCCCT